CAAGGTGATTTTTTTGAAACTATTGGTCTAGACTTTGGGTGGGAAACCATATGTGAAACCATTGGGTTAGACTTTTGGTGGGGAACCACAATCTGCTGATCAGAATTATCTGGGCTGCTCAGCAGGATTATCTGGATATCTTCAAGGACCATAAACTGCTGACAGAATGTCTGCAGGAGCATACTGCTCTGTATCTGTTCAAATTGTCCTGGCATATTCCTGAGGTCCTTCCTGAAACTGAGTACAGCAGGTGGTCTGAGATGGTAGCCCTTTCCCTAAGACGGAGCCTGTAAAGTCAAGTCTAGACTTGACTTTCTTCATCTTTCTCTTCATCTCTCTATTATAATAAACTCTCTGCTTGGATGTAGCGCCTGGGTGTGAATGACTTTCCATACACCACCGCCCACCCCCCCAACCCCCTAATCCCCCACCCCACCCCACCCGCTGAGTCTGCCCAGCGTGTTTGCCCTCAGTTGTGGGATACCCTGGCCTGGCCAGCTGGTGGTTCCTCACTCGTGCAAATTCATAACAATACCTTATTCCACATAGTATAATAAATATTCTAATGAGCTCAACAAAGGAGGTTAATTTTATAGATATTAAAGACCAAAGAAAGCAGCAACAAAAGACAAAAAGCAGATTAGTCATTTCAAATTTACTCTTTGCAAGCTGGGAGTGGGGAGATAGAACCATAGAAAAATAACTGGTAAAGATAAGGTTACTTCATGTTAACTAGTTTTTGAGGTAGGGTCATGCTATGTAGCATAGGCTGGCCTCAAACTGACTCTCTCATCTTCCTGTTGCCTACCTTTTGAGTGATGGGATTACGGGCATATGTTACCATGCCCAATTTTATATAGCCCTAGGGATCAGATACAAGGCCAGATCTTATGCAAACATACTACTGTTAAGTTTTAAACCTGGGGCAAATGGCTGAGGTGCCTATTTAACATATCAAAGCAGACCTGGCAGCCAGGTTTTCCCAGCATTCCTCAGTCCCTACATGTTACAAAATGTGCCTGGCATTCCTCACCCTCTACCCTAAACTCTCCAACCCAGGGGCTCGGCTGCCCTTCCCCCAGAGGCTTCTCCCTATACAATCCAGACATTTTGGTTACCCTCTCATTTTGTACATTTGGCCTTCTAGTAGCTGCACCTGGTTCCTCTCTCCTGTCTCTATTCTCCTCTCCCTCTCCCTACATGGCCCAGCTCAGCCTGGTCATGTCCACAGCTTTTTATTAGCAATGAGAGCAATACATATTTACAGTGTACAAAAGGATTATTCCACAGCAGACTTCACTCAATCTCTCCCCACAGGGCAAATATACTTCATAATCATCTTCCAAGCCTTACTACTCTAAAGGGTCTGGGTAAGGCCTGATATGTCCATTTTTTAAGGAGAAGGACTGAGGCTCAGGAGAGGGACAAACCAATCCCCAGGTCATGAACTGGGCTGGATCTCATGCTATGTAATTCACAGGGCTGTAACCATTCCATGCACTTAATCTCAGCTATGATAGAATCTTTCTCAAAGAGGGTCACAAATGGACATGCTAACTTTTGAGGGTGTCCAATGTTTTTTTCTAGAAAAAAGTGGTGGGTAATGGGGACTCCCAGAACTATAAATACTGCCAAGAGCTTGTGCCAGGTCTTGGGGAAAATGGCCTTGTATGATGTTCTGAACTCTATATACAAGTACCCTGAGGTACTTGTCAGCCCTGCCCATGCTGTACTGGTGCTGTTGCAATTTTTACCAAGGTATCCCCCAACAAGACTGCAATACCCAGGGGTCAGTAAAGGGTGCAGAGATGAACCACTTGGGAGACAGTTTCAGGGAACAGCATCTGCTTTATTGTAGATGAGCAGCCACATGTATAGTGGAAGCCTATTGACTATGAAGAAGCACATAAAAGGAGACATGAAGAGTGCAGACATGTCCACAGGCCAACTACTGGCTTCTCATGCTACTTCAGAATTCAGTGTTCTGACTTCTGGGAATATTCTGTTCTGATGTGCTATGCTTCTTACTTAGAAGTGCAGTGTGCCAGGTAGGCTGCCTGCATTTTCTCCTACACAGTGGGTACAGGTCCTATCTGCATGGTGGACTGGTTGGTGGAAGAATGGCTCTTGATACTAAGTTTCATCCTTCCCCTGCCACCTTCTGCTTTCTTCCAAGGGCCAAAATGTTGAGAACTCTAGAGAACAGACCCTGAAGTCAGGGAATCTCACTGATGTTCAGGGAGCTGGTACTAGAGTTTGATGACTGGACAGAAGCTGCCAAAATCTTTCTGGCATCTGAAGCAATGTCAACAAAGTTACCAAGGTCAAAACAGGACCTCAACATCTCCCTTGCAGTTATACCCATCAGCACAGTCTTTATGCAGACATTGTTGCTACAGCAGGCATTCCCTACTCAAGTGAATACCATGTGCTCAAAATCTGCCTGTTCTAGGCTGGGTATAGTGATACCTGCTTGTATCCCCAGAGTTAAGGAGGCTGAGGCACGAGGATCATGAGTTCAAAGCCAGCTTAAGCTACATAACAAGTTCCAGGCTAGTCTGAGCAATATAGGAGATATTATCTTTTAAAAAATTCTGGGGGCAGGCTGGAGAGGTGGCTCAGAGGTTAAGAGCACTGTCTGCCCTTCTAAAAGTCCTGAGTTCGATTCCCAGCAACCACATGGTGGTTCACAACCATCGGTAATGAGATCTGGTGCCCTCTTCTGGCCTACAGGGATATGTGCAGACAGAACACTATACATAATAAATAAATAAATGTTTTTTTTAAAAAAATTCTGGGGGCTGGAGAGATGTCTCAATGGTTAAGAGCACTGACTAGTCTTCCAGAGGACCCAGGTTCAATTCCCAGCACCCATATGGCAGCTCACAACTGTCTGTAACTCCAAGATCTGACACCCTCACACAGACATATATACAGGCAAAACACCAATGCACACAAAATAAAAATAATTTTTTTAATTCTGCCCATCCTGATACACACACACACACACACACACACACACACACACACACACACACACACACTTAGACCTGGTGGAACCTCCTAGCGATGTAAAAACTGTAAGCCAGGCTGGCTTTAAACTTATGATCTTCCTGACTAAGCCTTCCAAGTGCTAGGGTTGCAGGCAGGGCATCATATGCATATGCATAGCTGTTCTTGTTTATAGGAGCAGTGGGTAGTCTGATGGGAGGGAATTTGAGGGTCCTTTTGTTCACCAAAGAAGGTACATTGAAGTTGTTTGTTTGTATGTATGTTTGTTTTTGTTGTTGTTGTTCAAGCAAATTCATGTCAACCCAGTACTTCAGTGTTTTCTTGAGTGTCTCAATCTGAAATTCTGGTTACAGAGTCAGAATCTTTGTAGTATAGGCCAGGACCTTGGGGCTGGAAGGGATTGGACAGACCTGGACCCATCTGTGGGAATTGGAAGTCCTAGAGAGATGTTTGTCATGTTTCCCATTCAAATTTTACAGAGAAAGATGATCAAGAAATTCGAGTCAGTCCAGAGACCTGGGTGTTCCTAGTGTTAAACCCTACGTGGGCCTAGGGGATAGAGCCTAATTTTAGAGTGTTTGCTCCTTGCCTAGTACCACACAGGAAAAAAGAAAATAAATACATTAAACCCTAATTCCACACCTGTGTACAGTGTTTCCTGCAGAGTTGGTCGGAATAAAAGAAACAAGAAGAGAGTAGATCAGAGATAAGAGATTTCAGCATCATTCCTTTTCTTCATTGCACTTCTGGGTATAAGGCCAGGTGTATCCCATTTTCCAGAGTCCCTGGCTAGGTGGCAATGTCTCTAGGTCCACTTCCTTTCACTTAACTCAGATTTAGGAATTATAACAGCTTGGATGGGACATCTTCATTATAAGAAGATGTCCTGAGGCAAGGACAGATGTTTACCATTTGATACGGTAGTTTTCAATGAATTTGTCAATAGGGTGACATTTGTGAATAAGGGAATTTTCAACTGTGCATAATTTATTAACTAGAGAAGCTTGGGCAAGTAGGAGTTAGAAATTTCTATAGTAGGCATGATGTGGTAAGAGGATTGCAGCAAGTATGAGGCCAGCCTGTCTCAAAAAGAGGGGTAAATAGGAGCTAGAGAGATGTCTTAGTGGATAAAGCACTTGTCATGCAAGTATGAGGACCTGGGATTGAATCTCCAAAACCCACATAAAACTGGGCAGTGGTAACTTGATCTGTATGTAAACTGGGAGGCAGAGAAAGGAGAATCCCAGGAAAGCTAGCCTGGTGTATGCAGTGTCTCAGATAAAGTAAGGCTAAAGTCAGACACTCAAGGCTGTCAAGGAATATACAAGCCTTTACTGGTACACACTGACACATACAGAAAGATAAAAAGGAAACAAAAATAGTAATAATCACTGTACTAAGATGTCTCAGAATATTGAGTAAATATTCAATACATTGGAGTTGATAATGCAAAGTAAATGATCATTACTGATTTTGCAGGTTCCCAGTGCTAACACCAATGTTGAGATTATTACCAATATATCATTTTTTTAGGAAAGTATAAAAACCCAACACCTCAGGCGGTGGTGGTGCAACCTTTAATCCCAGCACTCAGGAGGCAGAGGCAGGTGGATCTTTGTGAGTTCGAGGCCAGCCTGGGCTACAGAGTGAGTTCCAAGAAAGGCTCCAAAGATATACTGTCTCAAAACAAACAAACAAACAAACAAACAAAAACAAAAACACCTTTTTTTTTTTGAGACAGGGTTTCTCAGTGTAGTTCTGGTTGTTCTGGAATTCTATCTGTAGACCAGGCTGGCCTTTCCGTTTTTGCTAGAGATTGAATTGAACCTGGAGCTTTGTACATGCTAAGCAGCTGCTCTACCACTAAGCTACATTTCCAGCCTCCAAACTCAACTTTTCAAATCTTTTCTTTTTCATTGGTCCCTGGATGCTTCCACCAGGTTATCAGTGTCTTGAGTTTGTTCCTAGACACTACACAGAAACAGTGCTGCTGTGTGATAGTTCTTTATTTCACCATTTACGAGAAAGAAAGATGGAGGAAAGGTGAACAGTGTGCAGGCTTCAGCTTCCACTGGGGGGTAGACTTTGAGTCATCTAGGCCCCCAGAGATTGCCAGGTACATAACCCTGGATTCTGGGGCAGGCAGGCAAAGTTACGGCTCTGGTAGTCCTCAGAGCCCCTGAGGATCTGATCTGTCCACAAACATTGAGTGTCACTCTCCAGTTTGCAAGGGATGGTTGAACAGGGAAACACCTGGAAGAAGGGAGAAAGGTCCATCTCTGAGGGCTTCTTCTATCCCTGTTCCCTCCCCTATGTAGAGTGTTCCACTCTCCCTCTGGTAACACAGAGCTGCTGGGAAGGCTTGGCATTGCCCCACTTGTGTTTAGACCCAAGAACAGCTTCTCCCATTTGGGGAACAAAAGGCCAGTGTTCTGTAATGGTGGGTAGGGAACTATCACTTGAAGTCACTCAGGCAGGCCTCCTGAGGACCTGTCCCACAGGGCAGAGAATTGACAGTAGTGGGGAACAGTTTGCATACAGGGAGATTAAACATAAGAATAGGCAGCAGGGCTCTCAGTGACTGGGGACAGAGGATATTTGGTGCCATCAGGGAAGAGTTTTGAAATAGCCAGGTCGACATGTCCCTTTGGATTTGGAGAATAGCACTTTGAATTCTTGCAGAACATGCCTGGGAAGCCAAACCCAATCCCAGGAGGTCAGAAACAGATTATTCCAGAATAGTCACAAAGGAAAAGTTAGAGAGACAGAGAAGGTTCAGGGAACATGCAGTCCTAAGATAACAGAACAACCAGAATTGCCAAAAGAGCGGCTCCAGTTTTGAGACAATGGCAAGAGGAATCAAAGACAGTGCTTGGGTTTGGGGAGCGGCTATAATCACAAAGAATAGCCAGAGGGTAAAAGAAACCATTCCAAGAATTATCTCCAGGAGGAGAACTGGATCCAGGAACTTACTGTGCAAACCCCACAGCCAGCACTATAGGTCTTCGAGAAGGCCTTTTGCTGAGCAGGTTTCAGGCTACGCCAGGGAACCAAGAAGCTACAGGCACTGATGTGCAAATTCCCGTTCCTTAGGCGTCCTATACGGGTACGGAGAAACCAACAGGCTTTTGATTGGCTGGGTGCTGCCGGAGGGGTCACCTGATTAAGATTAGGTTACAAACCGCCGCCCCACCCCCACCCCATTTCAACCAGGCCCTTTCCCTTTAGAACCTAGCTCCTCCCAGTTGCCAGGAAGCATCTGGGGATGAAGAGGTGTGGCCCAAGGTGAAGGGGCGGGGCCTCACCCGTGATGAGAAACTCCTCGCTGAGGTTTTGGGATTTGTGGACGTATCCGCAGAGGCTCTCCAGGGCCGGGGTGTAGGCGAACCGGAAATTTGCAGCATTCCCCACAGCATCGAATCCTTTGAGCATCTGCCCATGAGTGACAAAAAGTGTGTCTTTTACTGATATAATCCTCCCACTCCACTCTCTCAACCTGATGTCATATATCTAAATCACAAGATTACAGAAAACGACCACATCGACCAAACGCTTGTTTTTTTTTTTGTTTTGTTTTGTTTTTTTGTTTTTGACGGGGAGGAAGAGGTTAGGTATGGCTATGGAGGGAGGGAGCGGAGGAGGGGAAATACCTTGGTCATCTTGATCTCATAACGCTGGTATAAGGTGCTCATGTTGATTTCTGGGGACCCCATGAATTTAGCCCTTATGACTAGGAAGAAAGGAAGGGGAAAATAAGGAGTCAGGTGGGCAGCACAAACCCATAACAACAAAGCATACATACAGCATAATTCTAATAGAAACAGCACACTTAGTGGCTTCCACATCTGTTGATTCATCTATACATTGTCTATTCTTCCAGGCACTGTTTTAAGCCCCTTTCATATCCATCTGTTGGCTTACTCAACAAATATTAATGCCTGATGTATGCCAGCCACTGTTCAGGGTGTTAGGAACACACAGGAATCTGTTTCCTTGTGGAGCTCACATTCAAGCCAGGAGGAGATGACTAAAATTAAGTAGCCAGGCATGGTGGCACAGACCTGTAACCCCAGCTCTGTCAGCTGATGAAGGAGGATCACTACAGTATGAGTTCAAGACCAGTCTAGACAATTTATTGAGACCATGTTTTAAAATAAGAATTCACAAAAAGAGTTGGGTTTGTACCTCAGTTATGTAGTGCTTGCCTAGCATATGAGAGGTCCTAGGTTCAATCCCCAGTACCGAGAAAAAGATATATGCATTGTTAGAGGCTATTAAGTATGATGGAGAATTAGAGTAGGGAGGGGGTTGACAAATAGTCTTTGCTTGACCACAATTTACTCAGGCTCATTAACTTTCTTCCAAGCTTATAAGTGGAGTTTCTTTTAAAAAATCCTGTTGTAGATACCAGGTGGCGGCGGCACACACCTTTAATCCCAGCACTCAGGAGGCAGAGGCAGGCGGATCTTTGTGAGTTTGAGGCCAGCCAAGGCTGTTACACAGAGATACCCTGTTCTCAAAAAAAAAAAAGAAAAGAAAAAAAAAGAAAGAAAGAAAAAAAGAGAAATCCAGTGTAGCAAAGTCTACTAAATCAGTTTAGTGAAAACACCCACCCTCATCTGATTCTCCTCAATATGTGATGGGGCTCCTCATCTTCCACTGGCCACCATGTGATTACACTAGCCAGTTTTCAGCAAGAGTGCTAAACTGGGTGTGGTGGCACGGGCCTGTAATCTCAGCACTTGGAAGGATGAGTGAGGAGGATCAAGGGTTCAAGGCCAGACTGGGTTACATAGTGAGACGTGGTCTCAAAAAAAGTGAGCTTGTGGGCTGGAGAGATATCTTAATGGTTAAGAGCACTTGCTGCTCTTCTAAAGGACCCGAGTTTGGTTCCCAGCATCCACATAGGGTGGCTTACAACCACTTGTAAGTTCAGCTCCAGGGGATCTGATGCCTTCTGGACTTCACAGGCACTCACACACCACACATGGTGTGTGTGCACATACAAACATATACATAAATAAAAATAAATAATTTTTTTAAATGGGCTTAGCCCAAATCCTCTTACTTCTTGCCTATATTTCTCAGTGATTTCCCATTCACCAACCCCTAAACTGTTCCTTGGCCATAGAGTTCCATATGCCCATGCTATGCTGATAGTTAATAAGCCCAATCTCCCTCTCTCTGACTGCAAAGTCTGATTGCATGGTCCTGAATAAAGTCTGCCTTTCTGTGCCCTAAGAAGTGCCATTAACAGTATTATTTAACAAGGGATCAGAAGTACTATGTGCCAGGGATTAAAATTTAAACAAAGTAGACAGGCATCTCAGTAAGATGACTTTTGTTTTTGGTGTTTTGAGACAGAGTTTCTTTGTGTAGCCTTGGCTGTTCTGGAACTAGCTCTGTATACAAGGCTAGCCTTGAACTCACAGAGATTCACCTGCCTCTACCTCCAGAGTGCTAGGTCAAAGATGTGTGCCACCACTGCCTGGGTAAGATGACTTTTGAGGTAGCCTCCCATGTGGATAACTACAGAGAAGCACCTACCTGGGAGCGAGGAGCCAACACAAAGATGGGCTTAGGCCTAAGGATGTCAATATGGCCAAAGCAGATCTACGATAGGGTAAATACAACTATTCTAGAGATAACTGCCATCCATCATGAACCCTATTGGACTAAGAGGGACAGAAAGGGGACCAGACTCACCTAGGTCCGAGTTGCAGAAGGCTGTCTGTGGGTGGAGTGGGGCACAACTACAGGCCTTACTGGAGGCTATCAGTGATAGCAACAAAAGGATGCCAGAGAGCAGAGATGCAAAGGGGGCCATAGTGGTATCTGCTGGGAGAGACAAAGTGTTAGATGATCCCCAGCCCAACTGATCCGTTTACCCATTGGCCCTAGGGAGATTAGGGAACTCTTTAGGGTAGAGAAGCCTAGAAATCTTAAGGGGGTTGAGAAACCCAGAGAAGTTTAGGGGCTTAAACAGTTGGGAAATTTTCGAGTTTTATTGAGTTCCAGAGATTTAGGAGACAGTGAATTAGAAGATAATTAGATAGATATTAGATATTAGAAGATAATTAGATAGATAATTAGAAGAGTTGTGGCAGTTGATGAATCAGGAGCTGAGAAGTTTGAGAATTTAACAGAGTTGAAGAAGTCTGACATTTGTGGAGTGAGGAATTTGGAATTTAGGAAACTGGAGAAGTATAAGGGGAGGTTGGGAGTTGAGGACTATTAAGATATAATGGGCAGGGGAATTTAGGGATATTGAGGATTTTACAGGAGGTTTGGGGTTTTAGAAAGCTGGAGGGAATTTGGGGGTTAAGGGTCTGGGGGAATTGGAAGCTTAATGTAATGGGAGTGCTGAGGAATTTGAAGGCAGAAGAACATTTGAAGTTCCAGGAGCTAGATATGGCAGAGTTTGAGGGCAGGGGGAGTTAAAGGAGCTGTAGGGGTTTGGGGGACAATGAACAAATTCAGGGGAGTTGGCAAGTTGAGAAGTCTTTAAGGTATTAAAGGCTTGTGAGTTTGGAGCACTTGGGGATGAATACCAGGGGCATGAGGGAGTCTGGAGAGTACAGCTTGGGACACTCATTCCAGACATCCTCCCCTTATATCCCCCCTTGGCCAAATAGGGATCCTGATACCTGCAAGTCAAGTTGAGCAGCTAGTCCAGCAGGGAACTGGATGGGCCTGGTGGCTGCACCAACAAAGGCTCCAGGCAAGCTCCAGTCCTGCCAGGACACCCGGCTCCCACTCACCTTTAGTGTCTCTCTAGAAGCCCGATCTCTGCGACGATGGCGGCAGGGACTGAGCGGTGAAGAATAAATGTCCATGCAAGGGGCGGAGTTGGCGCGGAAATCACAGCCTCCAGGCTTCCTGGATGCATTACTCATCCACCCACTTCAGGAATCGAAGCCTAGGGGCGGGCCGGAGGACTGGCCTAAAGATACTCCCTCCACTGCCAGCCAGCCCACTGCACCCCTTCCCCCAGCTCCACGTCACTCGAATTCCTCCCTGGCGGCCTTGAAGGGCAGAGGAAAGGCAGCCCAAGCCCCTAGAGCCCTGTGCCTCTCCACTTCCCCACAACCCCCAAACTTCCTATGGCTGAATTTAATGACTTCAATCCCACGCCTTACTCTATGTAACAAGAAGGGCTTGTTACAAGGTAAGGGATGACAGAGGGGAGACAAACTAGAAAAACAGTTGAGGGACATGAGATGGGAGAAGAGGCACAAATACATAGTGGGGAAATTGATACACTGAGAGTATCTGTGACTTATTCAAGATGGCAGTTAAGTGTGTCAGAACTGGGAGAGGAACTGAGGTAGCGTGCAGACAGAGCTTAGGTGGTAACCCTTCTCAAAAAGCTTGTTGTGGTTGCACACACCAGTGAGTCTAGAACTTAGGATGTTTGAAGATAGTCTGTGCTACAAGAGACCCTGTCTTAAACAGAAACAAAATCAAACAGGCAAATAGCTGAAGTGAAGAACTTTGCTGGTTCACAGGACAAAACTGGGATTTAAACCTGGGCTTCTTGACCCTGAGATCTTAACTCAGGCGGGGCACAATCTTGGCAAGCAGGGAATGGTGTGGTGAGCATGGGAGGGGGAGTGAGGGTGTGGATGATGGTGAAAGAAGCTAGTGAGTCAGTAGAAAACCCATCCCCACCCCATCCTGCCCAGCTCCTTCCCCACCAACCAGACCACATCCCTGGTTGGGGTGGGATGAGGCAACTGCTGCCTACCAGCTTCCTGATGATGCAAGGATATTCCCTGGGGTCTTGTGGAAGGGTTCTGTGGAATAGTTAACACCCTCAATTAATATAAGAAGGACAGACCAATAATAATGACAATGGCCGTAACCCCAGCAGGCAAGCAGATTCTGAGAGTTTGAGGGTAGCCTGGTCTACATAGTGAATTCCAGGGACAGCCTGGAACATACATAGTGAGACCTTGTCACACACACAAAAATGACGATAGTGATGAAAGCAGCTACGTATTGAGCACTTACTGTATACTATTGCTAAAATCTTCGTGTAAATTTACTTTAGCTAATTAAATTTTACTTACTTAGATTAGTTCAATAACCACATCATACAAAAACCTACTGCAAGCACTCAATAGAGTACTTTTAAAAGTTTTTTTTTTTACATTTATTCAGTGTGTGTGTGTGTGTGTGTGTGTGTGTGTGTGTGTGTGTGTGTGTGTAGCTGTACTCTTGCCATGGCATGCTTGTAGTGTTCAGAGGACAACTTGCAGGAGCCAGTCCTCTACTTCCTTGTGGTTCTGGGGATCAAACTCAGATTGTCATACATGGAGGCAGCAAATACCTTTATCTGCTGGACCATATTGCCAGCCCAGGATTTTTGTTCATTTGCTATTGTCCTCCTTGTTCCTTAATGTTAATGAAGAGGTGTTAAATCAATAATAACAATAATAGTAACCAACACTTTGAAGATTCAGGTTTACTGTATGTGTATACTAAGATTTTTTTCTCTGAAATGATTGACTTATTCTTCCCACAAGTCTGTGAGTTATAATTCATATTTTCACTACTTAATGAGAAAACAGAGACAGAAAGGGGTCAAACTGTCTGTTCAGGAATGATAATGAAGAAATTACTGTGGTGGGGAGGTAGGGACACAAAGAAAGGGGGAAAGGGAAGGAAACCACAATTTTCAACCATCTGATTGTGAAAGTGAGGAGTGAGAGTAGATGAGACAGGGGGCTGAGTAACTAGGTGACGGGACTGAGGAGAAGCAAAGACGGGGAAGTCCAGTTTCTCCTCCTCTATGACCCTGCTTCTGACGACAGCTTTTTAACTATGAAACCTCAGTCAGCACAGTTTTGCCAGCTGTTTACATGTGAGGATTCAGATTGTTGTGCAGGTTTGAAATGGAGTTGGGTGGGCATCACAGAGGGGTGTTTGACCTGTAACTATCTGGGAAACTGGATAGGTGTGAGGTTCCCATAGGGATCCATTGGCATGTGCAAATACCTGATGATCCCCAGAAAGTATTAAGTGCTTGGTCTTGATTATACCCTTCATACATATCAGGAAACTGAGGACCAGAGAGACAGTATCTACCTGGGATCTCACATGGCCTTAGGAAGAAGAAAGGCCAAGATAGCAGGCTACAGCTCTCCAGGAAATCCCAAGCCCCCTGTATGCACATATGATGGATACACACTTACATGCGCACACAGCACTGTGCTCAAGCTCAGGAACAAAGGAAGCAAAGCTGGTTTATAAAAAGGATCCAGAAAGCTTAGCAGGTGGAAGTAGGTATGCTTGTGTGTGCACAGCTCTCTGGTGTGTCTATGCCTCTGTGAGTGGCATGTGTCCCTTAGTGTGCTCCATGTCCCTTCCTGAGAGCCAGACATATAGCTGAGTGTGTTGCTTCTGAGAGTTGAAGGTTGCAGATATAACTATGCCTGCCTCATGCTTCTCTGTGTAATGAGTAAATGCCTGAGTGGAAGGTCTCTCCCTTGTCACACACAACACATATCTTGGCATTGTTTCCTTGGCCCTGCTGCCTGGATGACACCCTTACCACCATCCCCCTTTACAAAACCATGCCACTCATGATGACACTCATTTGGGAAATGAGGAAGGAGGAGGTTGTAGAGGGAGGGAGAGACCTGAAGGTCAATCAGTCACTCCTAGACTATGGGGCTTCCTGTGCCTTTTGGGAACTGCCACTGCCCAAGTAGCCCCTCTAAGAATGTGATCCCTACCCTCTCAGTAGGAGGTAGGGGCTCTATATTTACACATGGGATGTGATGGGGCTAGGGCCCTCCAACCTGGTCCCTTCTACCTAGCCCAGGATACAGGGAGACTTACATCTTTGCCTAATATATACTTGCCTAAATATGTATCCACACCCAGGAGTGGTGTCTGTGTGTCTGATTTTCTGTATGTTTGTGTTGTAGATATGGAAAAATAAGTTGTGCCTCTAGATATACTTTCCATGGATCCAGGAATGTGATGAGGTCTGAGTTACAGGAATTTGGTTATGGGAATGCCTAGAAGTGCATACACCTTTTGTATGTGCTATTGATCCTTCTGTTTATTGTGGACATGCAGGGGAGCACTGCAAATGTCCATTGATTGTGTGCCTCTAGAGTTGTGGCTCTTTCTGTTATGTAGGTGTGAGCAAGGGGAGGGAGCTCATGTGTATGCTCCAAGGTGCTGATTGTAGGTCTTAAGTGGAGTGTGGAGTACATGCTGCTGAGGCTGGTGGCTGCCCCATACTAAGAGCACACAGCAGGCAGAATGACCACATGAGCTGACTGACTGGATCTCTGCAAAGTCCCAGAACTTGATGTGATTTAAGCCTGTGGTTGTCTTTCTCAATAGATGTGGACTTCTCAATAGATGTGGACACCTCTGGCTTTGGCTAGGTAATCTGAGTTCTGAAGGTGTGTGTGTGTGTGTGTGTGTGTGTGTGTGTGTGTGTGTGTGTACATAAAGATGAAGCTAACATGCAAGGCTTGGCTGAAGACATTGTTGTATGCTACCTACCACATCTTCATACACATAATCACTTCAATATCTATTCATTATAAAAACAAACTTTCTCTTTTCTGGAAAATTCCCTCACCCTCATCTAAGGCATATCTGGGAAAGCAGATATGGAAAGCCTAGGGCTTAGAAAGTGGAATAAGTGACTGGCAGGCAGGGCTCTGCATTCAATTCTGGGCTCAGAGTTGCTGTGAAACTATTTACTGCAGTTCCGCTTGTCTTTGACCAACCTTTTTCTGGGGGAAAAATGGCAACCAATGTGGCTCACAATCTATGGGTCACTAACTCTTGGCGGTTAGTACTACTGCTCTGACCATGCCTCTTCTGCCTTCATCTTCACCAGCTCAGCAGCACAACATACCCTGTGGTTGTGAAGATGGGCCATGCACACTCTGGGATGGGCAAGGTGAGTCCCAGCAGGGCACACATGCATGCTTATATAGTGCATGCTCTGGCATTGTGTGTAGTTAAATATGCATCTGTGTACTCAATGCACAACAATAATTCTGTTTGGTGATGCTTTCTGGGATGTCTTCATCTAATTGGATTTTGTATTTTTGTATTCATCTGATTTTTTTCATCCCATATTTCTCTCATGCAATCAGCCAATTTTTGTATGTTCCATTACTGTGCTAGTATACCAAGAGCATGGCTCTGTGAAGAACACACATCATCTTTTATGTTCCAGGCTCTTGGGGTCCAGTATGCTTTCCATCCAACTGATTTTGTCTGTGTGTGTGTAGCAAGCAGATTTGTAATTTGTAAATTTGAGTGTCTCTCAGCTTCTGTGTTTGTATATTATGTGTACAACTGAGTTTTTGTGTCTGTGTATGGCCTATGTACCTATGTACAGTTCTTTTTACAGCTTTATTGAGATTTAATTCCACACTTCATTCAACTTCCCTGTTTAAAGTGGATAATTTGGATTGAGGATGTAGCACAGTGGTAGAGTGCTTGCATAGCATGTGTAAGGCCCTGTGTTTGGTCCCCAGCACTGCAAAAAGAAGTGGGTTTTATTTTAAGCATATTCAGAGTTGTACACAAGAAATTTTATGTTTGTGTGCACATGTATAAAACAGGATACCCATAATTATGCATGCTTGAGTACTTTGGCATATCCACTTTATATTTGTCTACACATCCTTCCAGATACATCCACTCCTCACACTGCCTTAACCTCACACCTATGCCCACAGGTCAAGGTAGACAACCAACATGACTTCCAGGACATTGCAAGTGTTGTGGCACTGACTAAGACTTATGCCACTGCTGAGCCCTTCATTGATGCCAAATATGATGTGCGTGTCCAGAAGATTGGGCAGAACTACAAAGCCTACATGTGAGTGAAGAGGGGCCTTCAGAGGGACCCTGCCCCGTGCATCTCAGGCCCCACTAAGCTTCTTCCCCTTTCCCCACTAGGAGGACATCAGTGTCAGGGAACTGGAAGACCAACACAGGCTCAGCCATGCTTGAGCAGATTGCCATGTCTGACAGGTGAGAGATGTAATTGAGGAGTGGGAGGAGGGAGGGTGTAATAGAATCACCTGAGCCTGGCAATGACAAGCTGCCCTGCTCCTTGTCTTTGCAGGTACAAGTTGTGGGTAGACACATGCTCAGAGATTTTTGGGGGACTTGACATCTGCGCAGTGGAAGCGCTGCATGGCAAGGATGGAAGGGACCACATTATTGAGGTGGGAACACCCAGGGTTTGGTGGGGCACAGAGGGAAGAAGGGTGCATGGAAACAACAATCTAAACCATAAAACATTTTGCAACTCAAAGTCCTCAGTGAATGGTGGTGTAAACTGTAACATACTGTGTAAGCTGGGTGGGACATCCCTAGCAAATGGCAATGTTAAAAACTTGGATATCCTTGGTGAATGGTAATACTTGTTAAGATAGAAGGTGCTCTGTGAATAGAGATATCTTGATAAATGGCAAAGTACTTAGTTAACTTTTAAAGTGTCCTAGGAACCACAGGGAAGCACTCTGTTAAAGAAAAAGTGTCCAGTAAGCTATAAAGCTGGAACCAGCAAACACCTTTCTGTAAAGGATCAGCAGTACATATTTTATGCTTTGTGGGCTATGCAGTTGTTACTCTGACTCACTTCTGCAAAAGCAGCCACAAGCAAGACGGAAAATTAGTGCAGTTGTGCTTATGGATACAACTTATAACATAAGCGCATAATAAGCATATAAATACTTATTATGTATTTATGTCCAAAACTTTGAAATACATTGAATTTAAATTTCCTATCTTTTGCACATGTGAAAAAAATTTCCCAATCCATTGAAAAGCATGAGGCTGGGTACAGTGAGAAACTATAATCCCAGCACTTGGAAGGCTGAGGCAGGAGATGAAGAGTTTGAGGGTAGCCTGGACTACACAGTAAGAGTCTCAAAAAGAAAAAAATATAAAAGGATCTGGCTTGTGGTACATGCCTGTAATCCTAGCAACTTGGGAGGGTGAGGCAGGATCCTGTCTGTGATTTTGGAGCTAGACTTGTGGATTTTAGGTTTGCCTGTGTACTTGTGGTTCTGCCTTCTTTAAAAAAGAAGGGGTTGGAGAGATGGCTCAGCGGTTAAGAGCACTGGCTGCTCTTCCAGAGGTCCTGAGTTCAATTCCCAGCAACCACATGGTGGCTCACAACCATCTATGATGAGATCTGGCGCCCTCTTCTGACCTGCAAGTGTATATGTAAGCAGAACACTGTATACATAATAAAGAAATAAATCTTTAAAAAAATAAACAATAAAAAAGAAGAAAAAGATATGAAACCTACCTTAGCTCATGAGTGATACAAAAACATGTACCAGGCCAGATTTGCCCCATGGACCCTGACTTGCAGAGCCAGCTCTAACAACCCACCCCAAAAGCTGTCCAGAGCCCTGGAACAGACAGGCTTTCCTTAGAGTGAACAATCAGTGCCCTTTAGAAACAGACAGAGCTCTCTTTCCAGAGAGTGCTTTTTGCCAAGTGAAAGTGTGTTGACAATATGGCCTCACATGCACTTCCTGACTCTCCCTACACTGGATCCCTTTTCCTCCCACAGGTGGTGGGCTCCTCCATGCCGCTCATTGGTGATCACCAGGATGAAGACAAGCAGCTCATCGTGGAACTCGTGGTCAACAAGATGGCTCAGGCTCTGCCTCGGCAGCGGCAGCGGGATGCCTCCCCTGGCAGGGGCTCCCACAGCCAGGTCAGGTCCTTGGCATTGAGCTAGTGGGAAGGAGGCCAGCCCTTGATCAAGCTGGTGCCATTAAGGAGGTATCAGTAGAAGAGTAGTGTCACCTTTATGCAATATGTGGCCTCGATAAATTGCTACTACCTTGCTGTCCTTAAGAGTCTTCTGACCATGTATGGGGTGAGGGGCCTCACAGCCCCACCGCATCCCCTCAGCTGGCCACAAATGGAGCAACACCCAGCACACAGGGAATCTATGTCATTTTGATTGGCTATTGCTCCCACTGGCTGGTAACTATTTTTAATCTCTCCTGTTCCACTCCTCGGCCACAGACTCCATCTCCAGGAGCCCTGCCCTTGGGCCGCCAGACCTCCCAGCAGCCTGCAGGACCTCCTGCTCAGCAACGACCCCCACCCCAGGGTAAGTGAGGGAAAGCCTCCTGGGTTCCTACCATCCCAAGCATTCATACCTCTCTAGCTCACTCACTCTCACTTTGGTGTTCTCTTTTTCTGTTCCTAGGAGGCCCTCCACAGCCAGGCCCAGGACCTCAGCGTCAGGGACCTCCACTGCAGCAGCGCCCACCCCCACAGGGCCAGCAGCATCTTTCTGGCCTTGGACCCCCAGCTGGCAGCCCTCTGCCCCAGCGCCTACCAAGTCCCACAGCCGCACCTCAGCCATCCGCCTCTCAGGCCACACCAATGACCCAGGGTCAAGGCCGCCAGTCCCGGCCAGTGGCAGGAGGCCCTGGAGCACCTCCAGCCACCCGCCCACCAGCCTCCCCATCTCCACAGCGTCAGGCGGGGGCCCCACAGGCTACCCGTCAGGCATCTGTCTCTGGTCCAGCACCACCAAAGGGCTCAGGAGCCCCACCTGGAGGGCAGCAGCGCCAGGGTCCTCCGCAGAAACCCCCAGGCCCCACTGGTCCCACTCGTCAGGCCAGCCAGGCAGGTCCTGGACCTCGCACCGGGCCACCCACCACGCAGCAGCCCCGGCCCAGCGGCCCAGGTCCTGCTGGACGTCCCACCAAACCACAGCTGGCCCAGAAACCCAGCCAGGATGTGCCGCCGCCCATCACCGCCGCTGCCGGGGGACCCCCGCACCCCCAGCTCAAGTAAGGGGACCTCTATAGCAGCCTTGGCTGCTCACGGAGGGCACTGGCCCCAGTAAGTCATCCCCAGATCCCAAGGAAAACCAGGTCTCATCTGCCTGAGAACTCTTGCCAGACTGGGCCACCCCCCACCCCACCCCCAGTCCCGCACACACACATATTTGTCTCAACCCCAGCAGTTGAGGGAAGAATCCCAACATCACTTCCAGTTCAGGTTCCTCCCCACAGGCCCTGGGAAAGTCCCCATTCCAGGCCTTTGGCCCATCCCAGTAGCCTGACTGACCCACTTCCAGTACCTCCTGGCCCCCCTGATCTCCCAGTATCACCCTCCTCCCAACTATCCCTGAATTCCCTCAGGCTGATTTGTAGCCTTCCATCGTTTCATTCTTTCCAGCGTTTCTTCAAACTTTTTTTCCTAATAGAAGCTCCTTTCCGGTCCATTCCCAATCCTGACTTCAAATTCTCCCATATCAGCCTTACCACCCTTTCTGCTTTCTTTGGTCCATTCTATCCCCCTAGCCCTTGGCTCAAAAGTTTTCCCTGCCCCATGCATTTGCTCCACCTCAGACTGGCTTGCCTCCTACCCACCTGTCCTTGGCCCAGGCCCCTCCTAGACTCCTTACCTTTTGACTAGCAACTTCCCTCTTGTCCTCCATATCAAACTAGCTTAGAATTGGGCCAAGAATTCTTCCCATTAAACCCACACCACTTTACCTTGTTCCTAAGTCCATCCCAGCTCCCTGGCCCCAGCTTCACCTGCTCCTAAAGTTCTCCCACCCTTGAGAATCCATCAGGATCCAGGCCCATGCTTGGGGGTGGGAAGGTCACAGGCACAGCCCCAGGATCAGAGGGGCAGGGCTGGGGCTGGGCCTGGGGTAACATTGTGTTTCTCTCCCTTCCTCTCCTTCCTCTTCCCCCCTTCCTCCCATGCCTCCACCTTGTCTCTCTCTAGCAAATCCCAGTCTCTGACCAATGCCTTCAACCTTCCAGAGCCAGCCCCGCCCAGGCCCAGCCTTAGCCAGGATGAGGTGAAAGCTGAGACCATCCGCAGCCTGAGGAAGTCTTTCGCCAGCCTCTTCTCCGACTGATACCCCACTCTGAGAACCCCTAAATCCCTAGACAACCCTCTCTGGGTCCTGAGTCCATTTCTCACCTTTGGAATCTCCAAATCCCTCAAGAACCCCTCTTCTGGTTCTCCAACATCCCACTTCTCATTCCTCAAGATGCCGGTGTCCCTTGAAAAACCTGGTCCTAAATGCAGTTCTCACATTTGGGAATTCCCAAGTCCATTTAGAATCCTGCTCCTGGTCACTTCCAGATCTGTTTTTAAATCTCCAAATTCCTTAAGACCTATACTTCTGGTACCCCTAAAGGTGATTTCCTCCCTGGAAGTCCCTCAATACCAGTACACCATTTCTGGCCTAAGCCATTGAATCCTTTCCTGAAGCCCCGAAATTCAGGAATTTCGGGGCTACTCTTGGTCCTGAATCTCTCCGGCATGCCTTGCTCATAATCAAAAGTTTCCAATTCCTCAAGAAGCCCATACCCTTAACCTCCTTCCGTAGATCAACTCTCTGGAGATCCACATCTTCAAATGCCACCTACCATCCATCACCCAGTCAGCCCCTCAAGGACTTCCCTTCACCAGTTCCCCTCAACTCCATACAACACACTGGAAGTTCCTTCCACTTCTAGGACCCCTCAGTTCCCTCCTCCAGAAACCCCACTCCCCAGTTTCCTGCCTCTGATGCTGTCTTTAAATATGCAAACTCCACCCATCCTCTCAGAACCCTTTGCACAAGGAAGGCCAGTCAGTGGTCTCCCACTCCCCCACCTTTGCCAATGTCTGTGTCTGTGACTGACTTGGCCTCCTCTTGTGCCATGCTTGGCATATGTGGTCCTTGTTCGTGCCGCCTGTGGTAATGCGTACAGTGGCGCTGTTTGTGTGGTCCGCACTTTTCCTCCAACCTCCACTCCTTGCCTGGACTTGCCCCACCCCTCAGCGGCTCTGAACCCCAAGAGAAGAGTCGGGAAGCAAAATAAACAAGCAAAGGCCCAGCAGAATTCTGTGCTTCTTGGTAAAGAGAATCCTTGAATAGTGGGGGAGACAAAGGGAAACTTCCAAATCCATATGGGGTGCTGGGAACCCCAAAATCCAGTGAAGACATGTCAGGCAAAAACTTTAGAAAGAGGTTCTGAGTAGAATCCTTGCCATGAATCCCAGCCGTTGGAGATGAAACAGTTCTCCAAATTAGAAATATCCCCAAAGCCAAGAGGAAACCAAATTATGGAGGAAGCAGGGGATCTCAGTCTTTGGGGGTTCCCCAAATTTCCCAGGGTGTGGGATAGGGAATCCTGAGGCAGTATCAAGGCAGAGGCAGAACAATGACTGGCTGATAAGAAGGGGTGCCTTGGCATAGCAGGCTAAAATTGACTCCCTGGTGGCTGGGAGTGGCGCCTAAGGCACAAGGCGGGCTGCGCTGAGAAGGCAGGCAGGCAACTCATCAGCCTGGGTGCGGTGCAAGGAGGGTTCGGAGGCACTCCGCTCAATCTTGGGGAGTGACCGCTGCAGTAGCTCGATCGTGGCCAGGATCTGGGAGCAGGTGAAGATGAGGAGGGGTGTCCAGAGTCCCAGAGACACCCCCCAACCCCCCTCCAACCCCCAGTCTTCAACATGGTTCACATTCACATCTGCCTCTATCTCTGTATCCTCCTCTATCTCACAGTGCATCTCCCCGAGGCATCCAGCCCTCCTACCCAGCCCACCTGGGGAAATAGGGGCCGCTCCTCCCGCTGGAACTTGAGGCAGTCAGACAGCAGGCGCCTCATGGCCTTGGGGCAATTACTGAAGATTTTGCTGAGGTCCGGAGACAGATAGCCACGGCCCACCATAAAGATGATCTGATGTGGGGGGAATGGGTTGATTTGGGGTTTGGACTGGGAGGCCCAGGGAACTATGAATCTCAAGAGATATGGAAGGTTAATTTTTGGGGGGCCCAGAGGAGTCTGAGTCCCAAGGACTTGGGAGGGTTTTTCTGCAGCTGGAACAGAGTGATTTAAATTCAAGGTGTCAAAGACTATAAATGTGTATGGCCCAGAACAACAGGAGTCCAGAGTTTATAGGGGCTTACGAGCCTGTAAAATAGTGAAACTCAGGGAAATGCAGAGCATTACTTCTTGGGGAAACTTCCATTTCTGTAAGGATCTGGGGTATAAATGACTGTAAGTCTATACAGACTGTGAAGTACTCAAGGCTCAAATACTTGGTATCTGGAGCCTAGAGAATCCCATTTATCTAAGAAGATGGAAAGTTCTAGACCTTGAATTTGGAGAACTATAAGAATCTAAGACCTAGAGTGTTATGGATGCTAGGACCCCAAACCCTGGGTGACTTATGGGTATTTGAGAAGCACAAAAGGATTGAGTGCTGGGCACTTGGAGTATTTTGGGCATCCATAGCGGGGTTCAGAGGGCTTCTGGATGTTTGGGAGTCTAGGGGCATTCTAAATATGGGGAGTCAAAGGAATCTGGATTTTAAGGGTTCTGGCTCAGGAGTCTGTGGATGTAGTGGGAGTTAATAGGAGACATCTTGGAGACAGACTAATAGACAGATAATCCTAGGCTTGAGGGGAAGTTATTAACATTACCAGTCTGTACAAAGAAGGGGACCTGGAGGGTGAAGCCCTAAGAACTGTGGCTAAGTTGGGCTCACCTGGTCACGGCTGCCGATGTGGCTATAGGGCAATGAGCCGGTCATAAGCTCATACAGCACAACCCCATAGGCATACACATCCGACTGGAAACTGTAGGGGTTCGGGTCCTGCATACGGATCACCTCAGCTGCCTTCGGTAGGCCAGACAGGGAGGGGAACCATGAGAGTCAAGAAATGGCTGGCCCACAGTACTAGATCCTACTAGTCACACTGAAGACAACTCAGAGCTACCCACATGAGGTGAAACATGGGCAGTCCAGATACCCACACCTGGCACAAGCATCCCCACTTTGCCCCCACATGTCCCAATCTAGGAGAAGCCCACATCTCTCATTGCTCCCCAGCTAGCCTGGCCCAACTTACCATCCATAACACAGACCCTGAGGGCTGCTCTAAGGGCTGGGCCCCACTCCACCGTGTCTTCACCGTGGCCAGGCCGAAGTCACCAATCTTGACTGTGAGCCCCTCATGTAGGAAGATATCCAGCAAGGTCAAGGGCCATTACAGGGAATCCCAATAGCTATGCCTCTCACCCTGACTGGGAAGTTCTCAAAATCCCTGGGCTGGTGAGTCATGTCTCCAACAAGAAGCCATCCCATTTCATACTAACTATCCACAATTAATGGGACCCCACTTGGTCCCATTGTGACTCAAGAACAAGAATTCCCTTGGACAACACCTAAAGTTGTCATGCCTGGGACACTGAACATGCACTCCCTATAATGTCCTCTACAATTGCTACATTTCATATCCTGACCAGAGTACCCAACAGTATATGAACCAAGCATCTCCTAAACAAAGGTCCTTCATTTAAAGGCCCTTCACCAGCCATAAGCTCTGCTACCTGGCAAGAAACCTTGGGATATAAGCCCTTCCCTTTTAACCTCCAGAAACTTACTCCAATAACCATCCCTCTAAGCTATCAACCTGATTAATACCCTCCCTAATCCCAGCCAGGACAGGTAGATACTGTTGGACTTGAGATCTCGGTGGATGATGTTCTTGGCGTGGAGGTAGCTGTGGAGATGGAAGTGGGTAGTGAATTGGCTGGAGACTATTTCATCTCTCCCTCCCTCCTCCCCCTCTCTCTTAAGATGTGAGGCTCACTCCATGCCCTGGGCAGTCTGCCGGGCCACATCAATAAGCTGGACCATGTCAAAGCGCGTGTCAGCCACATGTAGGTGGTGGTATAGACTGGAACCCTCACACCATTGTGTGATGATAGCAAACCCTGGCCGGGTCATGAAACCCATGAACAGCAAAATGTTGACATGTCGTGTCTTCCTGTAGGCAGAGAGGATAGGTTGGGGGAGGGGTCAGGAAATAGAACAAGTGTCATGTATTTACTCAGCAACAGGAAAAGCAATGTCAGCTACCTTCTCTGTCATTCATTTCACCTTGTCTTTAAGGGTGCTCAAGGCTAGAATGTCAGATTCCAATCTGTGAGACTTGGTGGGCTGATTCTCTATGGGGGGGCTGGGAGAAGGTGGATGCCCTGACCTTCCTCAACAAAACTCTATTTTATTTTATTATTTTCTTCTGGTTTTAAAATAAGGTCTCATGCTGAATACCAAGCTAGCCTGGAGCTCACTAAGTAGCCTGGGCATGCCTTAAACTCTCAGTGATCCTCCTATCCCAACCTCACAAGCACTGGGATCATAGGCATGAGCCACCACACCCAGCAGTGGCTATTTTACAGATGACAAAATGGGAAGTCAACCTTCTTTATCGATACTGATATAAACACAGGGTCAAGACACAGAGGCATGTGTGACATGGGAGGATGATAGTCTATTAATCACTCACTGTGAGGGGCTTCAAGGTAAAGAATCTGTAGTCTGGAACCATGTTATAACCCAAGTTCAGTTCCAACATTCACCAGTTACTCATCGTACAACTTTGGAGAGGACCTCTAACCTCTTTAGTCCTTGTGTTCCCAAACTATACAACTGTTATCATTACAGCAGCTGCTTTATAAGGATGTCACAAAGGGTGAGAAAACGACCCTTAAAACTGAACTGAACAAACAGTAAACACTCTAAAAACTCCAGTCTGTTTCTGGGTACCTGGGTCTACCTCACATAAGCTGTCATGCACAAATCCTTTTGCCATAGTTTATGAGAAAACCATATTCTTTTATATAAGTAGTAACCATAGTTAGAATATACAAATGCAGACAACAGGGATGATACTTAGATCACAGAAAACAACAGAGCACCAGGCCATCCCTTCCTGTTTTGATACCTGAGACAGAACCCAGAGCCCTTCATATGCTAAGCACATGCTCTACCATTGAGTTCTGCACACAAGGATTGTTTTTGGTTTTTGAAACATGGTTTCATGTATCTCAGGCTGGCTTCAAATTCCTGATTCTCATGCCTCAATCTAGTAAGTGCTAGAAACATGGTCACGCACTACCACACAAAAATATACAACTAAACATATGTAAAAACAAAACAAAAACAAAAACTTTTTTTGAGACAAGGCTTCACCACATACCCACAGACTGTTTGAACATTCTGTGTATTTGTATATATGCAGGTACATATGGATACGTTAGTGCACATATATGCACATGCATGTTGAGGCCAGAGGTCAACCTTGGGTGTCATTTTCAGGATCTGTTCACTTGGTTTACTTATTTTATCACCTTGTTTTATGAGGCAGAGATTTTTCACTGGACTGGCTTGCCAGTCTAATTAGTCTAGACTGGCTGGCTGATGAGCCCCTGGGATCCCCCTATCTCTGCTTCTCTATTGCTGAGACTGTAAGCCTGTGCTGCCATACCCAATTTTTTACATGTGTGCTAGAGATCAAACTCAGGTCTTCATGCTTACATGATAAGTACTGTACTGAGTTACCACCCCAGTTCAGGTCTCAAATTGTTGATACTCCTGCTTCAGCCTCCCAAGTGCTGAGATTACAGGCATATGCTATAGCTCAACATGGGGATGTGTGTGTGTGTGTGTGTGTGTGTGTGTGTGTGTGTGTGTGTGTGTGTGTGTAAAGTGTTCATGTACATGTGCATCTGTTCACACACATAGAGGCCAGAGGTCAGTGTCAGGTATATTCCTCAATCGCTCTCCACATTGTTTTGTATGTGGCATACATACATGATACATTGTGTATTCACTTGTGCATGTGCATGGGTGTAGAGGACAGAGGTTGATTTGGGGTATCTCCCTTGATTGCTCTCCACCTCATTTTTTGAGACAGGATCTCTCACTAAACCTAGACCTCAGCAATTGGCTAGACTAGCTGGCTGGCAAGCTCTAGTGATCCCCTCTAGTATCTGCCTTCCCAGTACTAGGATTATAGGTGTACACCACTGAACCCAGCTTTTTACTTTTTAAGTGGGTGCTTGGAATCCAAACACAAATGCTTACATGGCAAGCACTTTACTGTCTGAGCCATCTCCCCAGCCCAATACAGATATTCCTTTTTTGTGTCTGTATCTGTGTACATAGAGCATGTTTGTCACAGTGTGCATGTAGAGACCAGAGGACAACTTCTAAGAGTCAGTTCTCTCCTTCCACCTTATAGGTCCCAGGAACTGAACTCTGGTTGTCAAGCTTGGTCCTGAGTCACCTCACCAGACCAAAGGTTCTTAATAATGATAAGCCAACAGATAAAACATAGAGTGCAAATTATTGCATATTCAAATCATCAAAATTTACAGAGATGAGATGAGAATAAAAGTTTTCTTATTGTGGCATCCATTTATGTCTATTTGATAGAGGGTGAAAGCCCATCCTCAGGATTGTCAGAAATCACACATTCATGATGTCAAGAAGTACAGCTCAGTGGTAGAACATATGTTTAGTATGGGTGAAGCTCTGGGTCATACACACACACACACACACACACACACACACACACACACACACACACACACACACACACAAACTATAACGTCTTGCTTATATAAAATTGAGGCACATAGTACTATGCTACATAATAACTATAGTGGCTAAAAGGGTGCCACCCTGGGTTTCTCAGCGTGACTAAATTAATACAATGTTGGTTATATCTTAATTACAGCATTTATAATAACTAAACAGTTGGATTATGAATATGATTATAATTAACAATATCTCCTTTCTATCAAAGCATTGTTATAATTAACAAGCCCACAACACAATAAAGTAACTACAGGAATGATTCAGCAAAAAGAAAGGAAGGACATGAGCACTCCTGGAGCTAGGATTATATGACCATGGGAATGGCCTATGGCCAGACCCAGTTCATAGCCAGCAAATAACAGTGTTAATCCAAAGAAACATCATCATCACCAGAGGGGAAAGGAACATCTCTTAGAGAGAAACAAAGTCTAATTATGCTTCCAACATGACACAAATGTAATAGACACCCAAAAAGTACCCCAACATGGCTTTTCCCCAAAGAAACCCTAAACACTGCCTGCCACCATCCCATCCCATGTACACACATACCAACCTCACCTGAGCACTTGCATCTCATTCTTGAAGGCCTGGGCCTGTTCAGCAGTAGGTTGGGCCACCTTGAGCACTTTCACAGCTACGTCGCCGTGCCAACGCCCCCGAAACACAGTGCCAAAAGAGCCTGTCCCGATCCTCTTCAACAGCTGTACCTCACTAGGTGGCACCTCCCAGTAATAGCCTGAGTCTCGGTACCCCAGGTTCTTCTGTGGGCCAGATGGGTAGCATCAGAGGGGCCTACCCATAACCCTCAGTCATGGCACTTAGCCTGTGGTGGCCCCCAAGGATTTCCTATGGCATACCACTTTTTTCTTTTCATCTGCCAAGGACTTCCGCTCTCGCTGCTCTGAAGGTGACTTGGAATGTGGGGACTTCCTCCCTGAGGACACACTAGCTGGGCTAGGGCTACCCCTGGGGGCTCCATCACCACTTCTACCAGCAGCTGTGGTTGTACAGAATATTATGAGTGAAGGCAAGCAGGGTGGTGGGGCAGAAAGAGCTCAGGGTTCAGGCAAGGGGGTAGGGAGTTCTCTCACCGTCGGTGCTGAAGCTCTGAGCAGTGAACTGGAAGGAGGTGGGAACAGCAGTCAAAGTGAGGATGTGGCAACAGTAATGGCTCAGAGCAATGCTCTGTTGCTCCCCACCATTGCCTCCTTGGCACCCACCTGCATGAGGCTGGAGTCCATGGGAGCTGTGGTGCTGACCATGTGGACGTTAGGAGTAGATGTGGAGCGGATGCGCTGCAGTGGGGGGTTGGCAGGGACAGGGAAGGAGAAGTGCTCCAGGTCACGGGGCTGGGTGCAGGGGCTGATAGAGAAAAAGCTGTGAAATCGATGAAAAAGGAAGCAGAAAGCAAAGAAAGCCCAACCCCACCACCCTGAATGTGCATTTAGCTCATACATAGTACATACATGTCTATTGGTCATACCAGTAATCATCTGTTCAAGAAACATTTACTGAGTGCCTCCTGTGTGCCAGATCCCACCCTAAACTGAGAAGATCAAACTGTGGATACCATAAATAAGAAGCCCTTGCCCTTGTAGGGTTATTCTAGCAGAGGTAAAAGAGAAAAATCAAATATATAATATAATATGCCTGTTAGTGATAGACACAAAAAGGAAAAACAAAATAAAGAGGTAGAAAGTGTCCCTGGGGGAATCAGGAGTGGGTTCTCAGAAAGGGTGACATTGGGGAAAAGGTCTAAAGGAGGGACAATGAAGGACAAAGATAGTTGGAGAAAGGGTAAGATATGATTTTTTTATTACATATCATCATAATGACATGTATCTTTCAAATACGTTATTTATTTTATAATAATATACATTACCTATATTAAAATGGCAATGTTTTAAATATACATATTATCATATTATATAATGCATATTATACATATAATATAAAGATTCTACATATTATTATGTTACAAAATTTTTTTTTTGCTGTTTTGAGACAGTCTCATGTAGCTCAGGCTGGCCTTGAACTTGCTAATTAGCGGAGGATGGACTTGATACTCTTGTCTCTACATCCCGTGAATTACCATACCTTACACAAAAACATTTTTCTGTTCTTTTCACCATCCTGAGATTAAATTCATGGGTAATCAACACACATACACTTATGACTACAAATAATAATAATAATAGATTAACCTTACTTTTTATATATTATATAAAACTGTATGGTATCATTATATCAAACATAAGAGAAATAAAAAAAAGTACTTTCTGATACAATAATATATATTTCAAAGACAACAGACTTGAGTGTGGTTATACTGGAAGAAATAAACTAGTTATAAATATATGAATTGTTATTTACTCTGTACCAGACCCTGCTCTAAGCATCGCACATATCTCAACTCTCAATCCTCTTCAGAACCCACTGTGGTGAAGTATCATCCCCACTTCCCAGATGAAAAAACTGAAACCCAGTGTGACTGGGTGCCTTACCAATAGTCCCACAGTTCCATGACTTGTAGGTGCTCAATAAGCATTTATGAAGTAAACAAATGTATAATAGTATGATCTATCAGGGTCCTCTGATCATTTTCTCACTGGCCTCCAGCCTTTCACCTAAGACATCCCTACCTGGGACCCTGGGGGGTTAGCAGCTCATTCACAGAGAGATTTGAGGGAACCTCCTGCTGCCTGGAGCCTCCAGACAAATCCTGGATGCTGTGGTAGAACCTTAAGGACATAAAGGTGTAAAACAAGAAGAAGGCTGTGAGTATAGGTCAGCTGTCTGTAAGCCCTTGTACCTGGGCTTCTGTCCTCCCCATCCCTCAAGCCACCCCAGGCTAGGCTCACTGTCGGCGGTTGGTACTCATGTCAACGCAGACTGTGGGGACCTTGGAGGAACAATGCTGGTGGAACTTGTAGCCACAGGTTTGGCAGCGGAAGCCATGGAACAGAAACTTAAGGCAGAAGTCACAGAAGGCCAAGCTGAAGAATGTCTTCCGTACCTGCAGCCACAGAGCAGGCAAAGTTCAGGCCTGACTGAGGGCCCTCCCTGTCAACATCGTGGCCTCCCCCATCACCCCTGTTGCACTTACAAAATTGTGCATGGTCAGTGGCACATCTTCTAGGACCTCCACAATGAGCTCTTCACCATCCAGAGGTGCAATGGCTGTGTCCCAGGCAGTAACTGTCTTTCTTCTACAAGGAGTATGGGAGAGAATGAATAGGATGGTAGACTAGGTGGAGACAAGAAAGTTCCAAAAGTTCCTCTCAGCCCCATCCATAAACTACTCTCTGGCATGTTTAATTCTTACTAAGCTATTCACTATTGAGCTGGAGAGATGGCTCAGAAGTTAAGAGTACTTGCTGCTCTTGCAGAGGACCTGGGTTCAGTTCCCAGCACTCACATGGCAGCTCACAATCTCCAGTTCTGGGGGATCTAGAACCTTCTAGTCTTCATAGGCATCAAAAACACACACAGTGCACTTACACACATGCAGTCAAAACACTCACACACATAAACAAGGTAAAATTTCAAAAGAAGAAAAGTCACTATTCTCACTCCCACTTTATAGATGAGGAAAAAGGCTCAAGGAATGAACTACATCCAGAAAGTTAAGGAACCAAAGAACACAGGAATAAAAAGAAGGCCCATGAAGACCAACTCCACAGTGCATGGGGAAAATGAGAAAAGAAAGGGCTGATGAGTTCAGGAAATTGTGAAAAAAACAAAACAAAACAGATGAACTCTAGAAGGAGACAGAGTGAGGACTTGGGGACTGAGTAGATAATGAGTTGCAGACCTTCCAGGTCAATGAATGAATGAAGTGAAAGAAAAGATGTTACCTCATCTGGTGGAGGACTCCAACACAGAGAAGGATTAAGGTGACACTGAAGAAGGGAGGTGGGTGGGGACCCAATGGATGGCATAGGGTTTCCATACTCACCCTTTGATGAGTCTGTAGACCACGCAGCAATCCTGATTGAGACCCCGCACCTTGAGGGCCTTGTCCAAAGAGTCATAGACACTCATGCCATCCCGGACAGTCACCTACATGTACATGTGTACACAGGTTAGGGTCTTCAGTACCCAGTAAGTGCCCTAGACAATTATTCTACCCTCTGCAGTGGCTATTCCCTACCCCTTGTCACCCTTCTGATCCCAGACTTACAATTGGGACCATCTGGAACCCATGCCAGTTTTGTCTCGGTGACTCACCACTGTGCGTTGCTTGTTAGGCAGGTACACTTTGACAGTGCCAACTGCCCGAGATGGCTCAGCCCCACTAGCAGGAGGGCCTCGTGGTGGTTCCATGGAACCTACTTTTGTCAAGATGGGCTGAGGGAGGACTGGGCAGGTGCCATAGGACTCCTAGGAGAGGGCAGAGTAAAAATTCAGAGGTCTAGTAATGATAGCTTGAAAGCAGAGTGACAAACGACAAATAAAATTCCATCTCCAAGCTCCCATTGCTCCCTGCAGCCCAATTTTCATGAAACACCCCAATAATGCTAACACCTGATGCTTACCCTTCTCTGCTCAGAATCTGCTACTGCTTATCTCACAGCTGAGTGCCAAGATCTCAGACTCACTGCAGTGAGGAGGCAGTGCACAACTGTCCTGGAGGGTACAGTACACAAAATTCTTCTGGTGACTAATGGGAAGGCAGTATGTACTGCACTGAAGAACGAAGGTTCAGACACATAATGGGAATGAACAGGCTGCCTTGACTTTCAATGAAGAATGGAGTGATCAGATAGTATAGTGAAAAGAGTTACAGACAGGGAATGGAAAAATGGATGATCATCAAATCTTGTCTTTAGTTTGGAGGAAATGGAGACTGTACCGTGATCGTAAAAGGCACTGTGAGTATCTCAGAGTACTGAGATGTAAGGCTGATGGTAGAATTAAAGGCACTATCAGATAACTAATAGAGGTCACCAGACTCTGTGATAAATTCACAGAGGGTCACCAAACACTATGCTGAAGAGAGATGTAATAGGAGTCACTAGGGACTATTAAAGACAGATGGACAATAGACCGAATTAAACATTAAGCCAAAGGCAAATGGCAATAATGGCTCACCAGAAAACACTGTTAAAAGGAAAGAGGAAAGAACACAATGGTATCCAGATGAGGAAAATTAAGGTAAGATTGGGGGGAAAGGTCTCCAAAAACTCTCCCTGATAACTACTAAAGGGTCACAAAAAGATTACTTGTTGTAAACGGTCTGGGAAATCATGGAAGGAGGTTGAGGTGAACTAGGGATAATGGGGCTATCCTGTAGACATTTCCCTAAGAGGGGTAGAATATTAAGGACAATAAGGAACCATGGGAGAGAGCTGCATCTCCTGTACTTGGTGAGGAAATGTCATCAGGCACTTGGAGGGGTTCATCTTGGAATCTCGCACCCAAGCCCCAGACCCCAGACTCCATTTGGCCCTGTCTTGCCCTCCCGAAGGGCTTCAGGTTCTGCGCAGGCGCATTGCCATTGGCAGCGGGCGAAACCACAGCAGCCTGTCCGCGGACTCAATCCACTCCCTCCGTAGATGATGGTCTCGCCCCGGGTCAAACCACTCCTTTGGTTCCGGGCGGGGGGTGTTGAGATTCAGACGGAAGCTTCTTGGAGCTTAGCTTTCGGTCTGGACTTTCTGCCCGGGTCCGGCGGGAGCTCCTAAACCCAAACCCTACCGGGCCTGCCCTCACCTGTCACACCGCTACCACCACCACCGCCTCCATCTTGGGCCTGTCTTCTTGTTTCCTCTCACAGTCCGCCGCCACCGTCCCTCGGCTTTTTGCTATTGGCTCCCCCAGGACTCAGCCCTTCATTCTTATTGGAGTAAGATCACGCCCGTCAAGACAGGACCAGCGGAATGTGGGTCGTGTTCCGGATTAGGAGGGGTGGCCCCAAATGGTAGTCTCTAGGGCAAATTCTCCTGGCCTGATCGGCGCGCAGGCGCAGTCAGGACGACAACTGCGTGTTAAGGACTTTAACCCTAACAGTGCTGCGGAATAAAGAAGCTTGTCCTTTTTTGGTGTGAGTGTCGGGGAACGACTCGATTTTAGTTTTGGATTTTCTGGTCATTTGGGCTGATCTTATGGGTTTAGTAATATGAGCGAGAGAAACCCTTAAACCCTTTGGAGCCAGTGCTGTAAGCACATTTTTAAGGATTTTCGTATATCTTTAGTTTGACTATCCTTAAAAAGGAGTGGACTCAAACTAAATGATGTTCAGTATTTACGAGCTCTAGGAGACTGTAGTCATAAATTTTGATAAGTAGTAAAACTGTGCTGGAGGTCTGGCTGTAGGGAAGGAGACTTCCTCTAGGAAAGGGGTTGAGGAGGAATTTGAAAGACAGGCCGCAGGTGGCTAGGTGAAGAAGGGAGTGTTGGTCTGGAATGCAACGCTGTGGCAGCCATTTGTGGACATATTTTAGGATAAATATAGTTTTTAAATTGACCTTTCCCTGGCATCACAATCAGAAAAGGGACACACACACACACACACACACACACACACACACACACACACTTTTTCTTGGAACATTTCCTTTAGAAAACATATTTTCTCTGTCCATTTGAGATATATGTAAATCTCTTTTAAAAGCCTCGTATGGTTCTAGTGATGTAGCTCAACAGTAGAATGAACCACAAAGCCCTGAGTTAAATCCCCAGCACCCTTTAAAAAAACAGGCTAGGTTGGTCTCTTGCCAGTTTTACAACCACAGAAAATTTTCCTTAAGGGCCTTGAAACTACCTCTTTCAAATGTAACAACATCCCATCTCCCTGACTGGTGGGAACTTCCTCTGTGTGTCCAGCTCAAAGTTGTTTCTGGCTTGTCATAAGATACGAGTCTTGGTTTTCCTTTGGATAAAGTAACAGATGGCCACCGTGACTACTAGATGAATTTAGAAGGAACCTTGTGTCCCAAATGGTGCTGTCACGTTTTCTTGCTTCAAAACAAGTTAGTGGTTATTTTGAGAACTTGTATATAATGGGTTGAGTCTCTTGCTTCTATAAAAGGATAATACTTCTTTCTTTTTTTTTTTTTT